TCATCCACCGGTACTTCCCTTTGGACATGTTAACTTCTATTTTGACATATGTACTTTTCTGCAAACACACACAACCCCTGACTGTACAATTGCCTTAGATTAATCATTACCACAGGCCGAAGCCTGCTTGGTGTCTAATTTTACAAGTATCACAAGTGACACATATTCAATCAACAAGACAATGATAGGTTGCGGGACAAGAGAAACTTGACCCCAAACCCATCACTGAGATATTAGGCACAGCTGACCATCCTGAGATGAATACCCTGCAACAAAAATACAATAATAAAGATGTTATTATTATTTTTACATTATGTTATATGTAAAAAAATACAGCCAATGTAGAGAAAGGGCATTCAGTGTGGCATTTCTAACTGGAATATAAAAGATGTAATAAAATATTATTATTGTTATAGTTATAACCTAGAAGGCTGACAGCAAAGAAATCAAAGATGATTCTGTTTTTGAATGAATGTCACCACACAATTTTTTTTCTTACCGTCTGGGAAAAAGACTTGCTGCATTTAATGGGGTTGTGACTTGAAATTGATGTAAGCCATCTGAATATTGCCTATCTTCTAGCTAAACCCTGCTTAGCTTTTTGAGATCAATCAAGATTGAGTAGTTATTACACCTATTGTAGCTTTTGTTACCAGCTAGTTCTCTCTAGCTTGTTATATACAAGTTGACCTGTCATGAAATACTGTATTTATTTTGAAATGTCTAATTCACACTTGCAACTCAATACTTAATATTATAACCTACAACCAGCAAACACCCATGTTAGCTATACCTATGTATATTTCAATTTCAAGAACATTTTAGGATCATTCAAAGATTTTATATCTCACAGCAATACACAATATGGCTTTTAGCATCTTTCTTTAGAAAAGTATCTGGGTAGAGGCTCCTGGGTGGGTCGGTATATCCATATTCACCGTGCAAATTCTGGAATACGAAGCGATTTCTTGCATTTATGAAAGGACCCTTCTAGAATGTTTGAAGTTCAACTTTACTTTGAATATAATACTTTCTCAGCACACTTCAAGGCCACATACTCAGGTACTATTCAAATGCAAGTAATGAAATCTAGAGAAGTCAAAAGATACAAACCTTTGTGCCCATTTAATAGTTCTGCCTTTCCAAAATGCACGTCCATCGTTTCTTCCTATGAAAAGAACATTTAACTGTGCTGCTTGGGAACAGAGATGGAAGAAACCTAATTCTGAATCAAGGGGAAATTTTAATTTAAAACTAAATTTAATTTAAGTGTTGATTTTGGAAAGGCCAATGCTGAACATGCCATCTTTCACCACTTTTGAGCAGTGTATGTGCATGAAGAGGTAAGTCTAATTTGATGCTGACACATTGCTCCAGTATTCCCAAAAATCATCATTGCTGAAGGATGAAAAAAGGGCTCTATGATTATTTGCCTCTTGCTTCTGCAACTGTGTGAAATCTACCTACATATCTGTAAGTGGAACGTGGAGATCCATGTAGACTTACAGTCTCATTGTCATAAATGAAAAGGATGGCAGAGGACAACCTTATGGCTCTAATCCAAAGCCGTATTGGCAGTTCTTTGCCAAATGAAACTATTTAGAGAAATAACTTTCTTCCTAAGAGTGGAGATTGCCAGCACTCTAGTGCCATCTTTTGGACTGTCCAAGTAATAGAGACTTCATTTGCTGCAAAGAACAAAGAATTAAAGAATAGTCAGATCTTAGCAATTTTTAAAGTTATTATTACAGAATTTTCTATATGCGTGTTGGCTTAATACCACTAATACATATGGTCCTGAGTGCCCCAAAAACAAACTGCTCTCTCTCCGATTCCTCATGAAATATTTAACTGTGTTAATATTTAACTATTTAGCTCTGCTTTCTAATTACAGCATTCCTGGATTTCAAAAAGCAGTTAAAACAACAGCAACAATTAGAAGAACAACATGGGATGACAAAGAAGTAGAAGTATAGCACCTCTACAGCAAAAGTATGACATTATGATCATTAATAGGACATTTGGGATTTTAATTTTAATTTATTTTAAAATGGCTATCTCACCCAAATACCTAAATATAATGCACAGGGGGTATCCTACAGATATTTTGGAATAGTTTCCAGAATTCCTTGCTAGGCTAGTCTCAATGCATATGGGGGACACCAAATGTTGAACTTTAGCTTTAAAGAAATGCCTGAGTGAGATCTCTTCCAAAAACAAAAACCCTTATTCCCCTTTATTTCTCCAGGTCCAATCTCCTACTATCTTGTATTTCCTTTAGAATAATACTTTATTATGACCTGTACAGAGAGAGAAAGAAAAAAGAAAATACTACAAAAAGTAATAAAGCATCCAGCTGCATAGATGTAAATAGACTTAACATAACATGAAAATTATAAACTTAGAACCTATAAACTTATAAAATGTTAGAAAGAAATTTTAGCAGGATTGTTTTCTGAGCCGGGAATAAAACACGCAGGCAGTTGCTTGAACCAGAGGTGAGCTTTATTTCTGAGAGTGGAACGTGCAGTCCGCCCTCAGAGGCGGCTGTGCTGAGTCTTCCCTGGCAGCCCTTTATTTAGAGCAGTGTTTCTCAGCCTTGGCAACTTTATGAAATGTGGACTTCAACTCCCAGAATTCCCCAGCCAGTATATAGAGAAACTAATATGGAGAAACCTTGCCTTTTGTTCCTCCAAAGCGTGTGAAAGCGCACCCTTTAGGAATTCCAAGAAAGTGCACTTCGCTGGTGTTCCAAAAGGGACGACTGTGCAGTCAGGCACCCTGCTGAGTTGTGGTTTCCACTTGTTTAACATTGTTGATTAAAATGGTAATCTTTTCTGGGAAAGGATCTTTTGTTATTTGATCAAAGAGACCTCCAGTTAAGCTCAGCCAGGAAGGAATGTTCTCTCATTTAATTGGCGTCTCTCGCTGCATTTTAATCTATGTATTGGGCCCATTCCAATGGTAGTTTCTCCCCTTTTGCGTTGATGACAGTGGGAAGACTGTATGGCAGGAGGGTTTGATTTCCCTCCCGCAATAGCTAATCTAAATAACTAAACCTATAAAACCTATTATCTATGAAACTTGTCCACTTTATCACTTTTAAACCCACTTAAAAATAAATAAGAAGTAAGATGAAGGCAGTAAATAATTTTGTAGCATACAGTATTAAAATAAGAAAAAAATGTAAATAAAATGTAAAATTTTGCCTAAGCCTGGTGGATTTTTTTTTTTTTTTTTTTGTCCCTAAGGCACTTGATCTCAGAGCAGAATCTCACAACTTGGCTGAAATATTAGGGGCTATGTCCTTTAGTAATAAACGGAGGTAAAATTCAATATCCAGCCTTTAAGCCCTTAAAGAAAGGTTATCATATTAATATCTAACTTGTTCATAAACAGCTAGTTGTATAGTTGTAAACAGTTAGCCACACCAATTAGACCCTTCCACCAACAAACAGTAGGTTTCTGGGGTTTGAGCCAGCTCCTTCAGAGGTTCCATATCAGCTCTTCTTTCTTTAACCATTGTCATGGCAATCTTAAAATCCCAGTTTACTTAAGTATTCAGGTGAGAACCCACAGGTAGTAAACTTGTGCTCGGAGACTAATTGCCACTTGTCTTTATATTTCTTCAGTGACTAGAACAGAAATAATTCACTGGAGTTTAAGGTAACTCTGATTCAAGTTGTTAGTATTCTGGACCAGGCCTGGGTTTCAATGCTTGGCAAGTCTTCTTCCACCCTTGAGACATTAGACACACATCTGGGAGCACCAATTATAGCCCTAAGGAAAGCTGACTGAATCTGTTTGTAGGTTGTAAAATATAAAGATGGACCTAATTCAATTCCTTACATCATTTGCACTATAGGTTTGGCCTGGAATAGCTTGATTGCTGCCAGATCGAATTTCTCTGATTTCCATAAAATCTTGACTGTAGTGCTTCTCTGTACTTTCAAGGCGACATAGGTAATTTGAGCTTTTAATTTCTATTGCTTTGGAAGACAGATGCTTATATGGGTTCATTTGTTCAACTATATGATTATTAATTGACCATTTGTCTCTTCATCTGTTTTTGAAAAACACTCAAAATTCTTGGGTTTTTTCATGTGACAGTCAAGGATGTCAATTTTCTTGCTTAAAATTGCTCCAACTTGTTCCATGGGATTGAGTCAAATGATACTTGAAAAATCAACAAATGCAGCATATAATTTAAAATGCAACTGCTTTCTAGTTTTCCTTTTGGAAAGAATCTTCTATCTGATGTGTGGGGATACTGATTGTGAATGATGGGACAGAACTCTAGCATATCTAATGAAAATTAGATTAGGCTGCCCTAGACAATTGATTTTTAAGTTTTCCCATCTCTTTCAAAGATGCATTTTGTTTTTGTTTCTTTAATATAGTTTTATTAAAAATTTAAAAAGAAAAATACAAACTAATAAGAAGTAATAATTAGAATGAAGAGAGAAGAAAAAGGAAAGAAATAAGGAAAGTAGCTAAACGTGCAGGGAAAAAAAGAAAAAAAAATTATAAAGAAATTACTTCCAATTTTCTTTTACAACAGTTATAAGTATAAATGTAAATTAACCTCTTACTCTATGGTTACAGCATTGCTTACATTTTTTCTATAATCTGTTTTTTCCCTAATCATCCAAAACCATATATAATTTCATTTTTTTCTGTTTCACACAAAAAGTCAATAAGGGGTTTCCAATCAGCATTAAACTTAGACAATGTCTTATCTCTAATTAA